AGTCAAGTTGCTGACTTTCTTCTAACTGTTATGAAGACCTCCCCTCCCCCCCCCTTACCCTAAACCCTCTGTAAATCTCTCTGAACCTAGCCTACTATAATCCCAACTTTACCCTTCCCCCCACCCGGTATTGGAATGTAACTATCCTGTGTACTCCCTGTACCCTGTAATGCCAATAAAGGTTTCTGCATGTGACTCCCTTCTCTAAGTTTAAGGATCCTAATTATTCATTTCGCTGGAGGCTGATTTTAACAACTGACTGATCGACTTTGGTGTGGACATATTGACACACTGCAGGAGAATTAACCAGGCTGTATTTAGGATTTTCAAGGGGGAGGACAAGTAACTTGGAGCAGCTACACTAGACTACTCTCCCAAAAATCCACTGAAAGCTGCACTGTTAGTAAAATGTGACACTGGTTCGCAGCTTGGTCAGCACACCACCAAGATTCAGCAAGAACTGCAACAGTTCTCTATGGGGCACAAAGACGTCAGAGTACTCTCCTACATCATAAAGCCCTACCAGTCTTTCTTCATTACACAGATATATTCCTTGCCAGAACAAAAGAAGAGCAGTGTGTGTACGTTTATAATCACTACATCTTTATGTTTGCAAAATTAGCAAGTAGTAATGGAAGTAAATGGAGTGGGAGAACAAGAGTATACATTCATCCTGTGGTGAGATGTTGTAAGAAAATAACAAACCAGGAAATCACACACTGGCCAAAATCCTGTTGCACAGATATGCAGAAGGCAAAAGTTTTAGCCGCAAATTGCCATAAGAAATCACCACAGACATTGTGTGTTACACACCAAGTCTCATGACTCAGTATGAAATAGGTAACGGTCACAGAGATTTCTTAACATACAGTAATCTTCTTCTGAAAGTTATACCTTTTGTGCAACTGTGCAACAGAAAGCATAATGCCTTTGTTTGATTCTTTGATTTTCTATGCAACATTAAAATGTAACAGTGTTTTCCCCACATCCATTTGTTACTCAGAGAACCCAGATCATTTACAAAACATACATCAATAATGAAGCCTGCCAGACTATAGTGCATAAATATGGCATGTGACTGTTTTTCTTCCAGACAACCCTCATAGAGACCAGGTGTGCAAAGAGCCACTTCTGATCTGGCATGACTCCATAAGCCTCTGGCAGGCAATACTAAAGAACAAAAATAAACTGAGGATGGTGCCTATTTCCTTCTAAAGAAATTGGAACTAGCAAATAAATGACCTTCATTTTACTGTGAAAAAGAGAATGTTTGGTACCTACAGATATTCAGAATACAGTATTAGTAGTACACTCCAGCAACAACAATGGTATGTTCTTTTAAGTTAAAAAAACAACAACGAACAGACCAATTCACCTTAGGGTGAACACTAAGTCAAGGCAGTTCAAATCATGACAGGATCACAAAGGCCCACATTTTCTTTCTAGAAAGAAACTAATTAGTAATTATTATTCTAGCTTTTTAAAAAGTTACCATATAGCTTGCATTGTTCCCAATAGAAACAAGAGATAATTTCCAGTGAATACATCATAACGAATAGAAGGGACTACCACCAGACAGTTACCTAAAGAGCCAAGACACTCAAATGCACTTACCTGGGGGAAAGTCTGCAACCCTTTTGCAGATAATGTGTGAGCCTCCCTGCAGAAGCCAGGAGTAGGCCAAAGTAAGGGGGAGATGGTTTTATAGGTCTCGACAGGAACTCTGGATGATACTGAACACCAACAAAAAATGGATGCTCTAGGATAGAAAATGATGCATACTTAATCAGGTCAGTATCTAAAGCAATCTAATTTAAATATACAGTGTATCATATATAAAGTCACCCTGGGTATTATTATTAAGTTTCTTTGTTCCTGCAGTTACCATTGGTACTGTATTTGGATGCATCTCTGAAATTTACTGTATATACAATCAGAGAAATGTATTCTCGAAAGCTTTCATGGCTGGGATCCGATGGTTGTTGTGGGTTTTCCGGGCTGTTTGGCCGTCTTCTTAAAGTTTTTCTTCCTAACATCTCACCAGTCTCTGTGGCTGGCATCTTCAGAGGACAGGAGTCAGAACTCTTTCTGTGCTCTGGTGCAGTTTGTTGGATAGTTGAGCATTTACAGCTGTGGGATCAGCTTTTGTCCTTTCCAGGAGATTGGGTGATTATGGTGATCAGGTTGTTTTTTGTTGTGGGTGTATTGTTGTGATAAGAGGGAGAGATGATTTTTCACTGTGATTGATGGGTGTAGTTAATTGGTCTTTTGTGTGCTTGATCTTCTCCTGGATTCTACTCTGGGCCTGTGAACAATCAAGAGGTCAACGAACTCTACCCAGCCACAAGGAACGGTGATCACGGCACACAACACCATCTAATGACACCCATCAATCAGAGTGACAGATCATCTCTCCCCCTTATCACAACAATATGCCCACAACAAAAAACAAGCTGATCATCATAATCACCCAATCTCCTGAAAAGGACAAAAGCTGGTTCTACAGCTATAAATACTCAACTATCCAACAAACTGCACCAGAGCATGGACAGAATTCTGACTCCTGTCCTCTGAAGATGCCGGCCACAGAGACTGGTGAAACGTTAGGGAAAAAACCTTAAGAACACGGCCAAACAGCCCAGAAAACTCACAACAACCAATCAGAGAAATACTTATCATTTTAAACTTATAGCTAGTGAACTAAAAGATTTCCTCTCCCAAAAATTTCAACTACAGAATTCCATTACTATCTCCTCTACTGACTTCCAAGGAATGAAGTCCCATGGACCATATGTCTTACATGTCTTTTTAGGTATCTCCCTGATACCAACCCCAGTCCTCCAGCCATTGATCCAAGTGCTCACCTTCCAACTCAACCACTTCCATTCGCTCTCCTTCAATATCCTGGCCCACAAACTTCATACCCTTTTCTTCAAATGCACTTTTTAATTCTGGATTTACCTGTGAAATGCAAGCGCTGTCCTGTGATTTCTTCTCAAATGCAAGCAATAACAATTATTAAACTCACAAATTTCCTGTTGCAATACCTCAAATCGATGTCTGTGCCTCTCTTCCAGAAAGTCACTATCTCCATACAGTTTTCCTGTTGATGAAGAAAATACCACCATCTGTTTTTCAAAACCACATTAACACCTTTCTCATTGCCATTCCCTACAGGAACAGTTTAAAACTCTTAAATGATGTGTTTTTGTTAAAGCAGATGTCTTTTGGGGAAAAGCTGCACATTAGTATACCACTCAAAAACATAAGAAAAATGCTTCAAGTTGAAAATGATTCAATAAAAGCAACAAATATCAATCATGTACCAATTCTGGAAGATTTTACAAAATATGAGATTTTACAATAATACTCCACATGAACTGTTCCACAGTGGCCAACCAGATGTCTCTAAATACACTGATGGGGCATGAAAGCAATAGCTCTCTGTCACTGTGGCTTTTAAATAACTGGTTATCAATGATATACTACATCTAAAGCTGTAAGTTCCATTTAGCTGCCATGTCAACAGCTGTAAGCTAACCTCCATGAACTTGCTGATCCCTTATTAAAGCCACCAAAGGTAGTAGCTATCACCAGATTCCCTAGCAATGAATTCCAACATACAGTATGTGAATTCCACATACAGTATGTGAAGCAGTGTTTTCTTTTCCAGCTCCAAATCTACAGTAAATTACTTTAGATTATCCCAGATTTATAGTATGAAAAAGGAGGAAAAGACTCCACCCCTGGTAACAGTGGGTGGAGGCAGAGTTTAACAAAGACCTTTTATAGTAATTTATAAGTTACATCATAAATTGGTGCCATCGAATTTCTAAAAAATCAATCAAAGGAAAGAAGGAAAAAATAAAGAAGAGAAAGAAGAGAAAGTGGGTGTAGGGGACAGAACACTAGTAAAAGTCATACTCATGACTGAGTTCTTGGTTTGAAAGATTGTTCTCCTCTTGCCAAGCCGCATAGTCCCACCCATTTGACCAGGATTATGTTCTGGCATGTCTATTACCTGAGGGAGATAGTTCAAAGAATACTGTATGACTGAAAAGGAATTAAGAGAGCAAACATAGCTAAACCACTACAAACAGAAAACACAAACAAATGCTAATTTCTAACATAAAACAATGCATCAAAAGGCTTACAAACACCAATATTAATTGTTTATATTTTAAAAGTGGGAAAGAAACTAGTACCCATATATTTGCATCAGGTAATTAAGAGTGAAGTCGAACTGGGAAGAGATTGTAATGTAAGGCCTGGCCCGGCTTTCTTTGTCTTGTATATAAAACAGCCAATATTAAGATTGTATATATAAGTAGACTTCAAAGGTGGATAAGAAGTGTAGCAAGATGTGACAGATGTGTAGGTGGAAACCCCATCTACCAGCTAACACTAAAACAGAAGCTGGAGATAATTCTTAAATCTGGGCCTCTATGGAGTGCATTTTGCACTTACAGGTCATGTTTTAATCTTACATCCCATGTGCAGATGGCCACAGATAAAGATATTTTTTCCTCCATATATGGGAGAGAGATAATTCAATGTAGCCCTGAATATCTGAATTCAATATTATGCAGAAACATAGAAATATGCAACATAAGCATGATGTTTCATCTGTCTTTTTCACATTTATCAGTTTCTGTTGCATCTCACAAAAGAGAAAGAGAATGGTTTATATCTATGCCAAATTTCACATTCACCATAATTCCTGTTTAAACCAATTAGGCCATTTCATATTTCTGATTCCCTAAATAATAAGAAATGTGGTGTATATATATATTATAAAACCATGCTGGGATCCAAACTCACATCACACTTACCACTGGATGTGTAGTTTCAGGGTCAAATTCAGTTGAGTTAGCATCTGTAGGTTACAGTGTTCGATTAGCTATGGCTTCTAGTATAAACTCTAGGATATTTCTCAATTCAAAATAAGAGATACCTTTTCCATTAATCCAATACAGTAACATAAGTGTTGATCACCATAACACAGGGAATACTGCCCAACTCAAATCATAAGGATAGTAACATGCATTCTTTAGGGGTTTCTACATTACGATATTTGTACCTTGTAGTTACCAATCCCTTTTTAAAAATGAAGACTTGCATAGATAGATCTGTGACCTGTAGGCACTTGATGAAAATTTTTTTCTAAGTAATAATCTCACCAAGTGATCTTAAGCAAACTAAGATCTGAGACAAGAAAAGCAAATCTTTCTAGTCCATCATACATTGTGGGGCTAATACTATTTCATCTTACAGTCTTGCTGCAAGGATTACTAAAGTAATATGTGTCTGAAGCATTCCACGGTGTGTTACACTTCATAGATATTAACTGGTTTTATTATTACATTCTAGTATATTATTTCCAAAAAGACATTTAAAAAACCCTTCAGTTCTGGATCTGGAGGAAAATGTTACCCACTCATAATAGAGTTACTATTTTAGAAAAGATTTGGTTACTTGTGTAATTATGGTTCTTAAAGTGGTGACTGATGTATCCACACAGATGGGTTGTGTACCTGTGCAAACCCTACTTTTGAAAGTTCCAGAGACTCAAAAACAAAAGTGCAAATGCAGTGCCGCTCTTCTCAGTCCCAATTTTCTACCACTAGAAAGACAGGAAGAGCGAAACAAAAGAAGAGGTTGGTGGGATGTATGGATACATGGATCACCACTTGAAGGATCATAGTTTGGTAAGTAACCAAGTCTTCTTCGTTGTGGTGTCCATGTACGCACACAGAGGGGTGATTAGCAAGCCAAAGTCTGGAGGTAGAAGTTACGTTAGAATAGAGGATAATGCAGCCCTACCAAAAGCAGAATCCTTCTGAGCCCTGAGATCTAGTCTGTAGTGTGTGACAAATGTCAAAGGCTTGGACTATGTGGGTGCCTGACAGATTTCCTCAATGTCTACACCTTGCATAAAGGCAGTAGATGAGATTCGTATATTTGACGAGCTGGGAGAAGACCAATGATAGAGACCAAAGGTTCTGCAGAGGTTGCACATCTGGGTAAGTGTTGTGGATGCTCCTTAGAAACATTTTGACAATTTGGTGTCAGCTGGTGGGCCACTATAGCCACGAGATAAACTTTGATAGAGGAGATACTGTAAAGTCTTTGTTGTTTGGGGTATAGTAGAATAGCAAGCCTTTGACTGTGTGGACCACAATAAACAATGGCAAGTCCTTTAAGAAATGGAGTGCCTCCAAGAAAAAGAAACCATGTTTTTTCAAAACTAAAAAAAACCAAAGCAGATATAATTTGTCTTCAAGAAACACACATCAAACAACAGCATTACAAATATCTGATCTACCCGAAGATTGGGAAGCTCTACTACTCAGCTGCACAACAAAAGAAAAGAGGAGTAGCTTTGTATGTGAAAGAAAAGTTAAACTCTAAACATATCTATTCCGATGAAGAAGGGAGAATCTTAATGGTAGAAATAACAATAAATCAAAAAAAGGTCTTGATGATAGCAATATATGCACCTAATAGTAAACAAGAAAAATTTTATCGTAAGCTATACAAAACAATATTGGAAAAAGAATACCAAAACATCTGCATATTAGGTGACTTTAATGCAATTGTAGACGAGAGATTAGATTATAAAAATGGCCAAAAAGGGAAAAAGGGAAGGAGAAGACTGCCAAACGTTTTCTTTCAGATGGCAGAAGAACTAGGACTACAAGATAT